ATGACATAGCTGGGGCCGTGGAGCGGCGGTGACCGGGTATAGAGCGGTGATGCAGCCGCGTGACAGAGCAGGGGGGCGTGGAGTAGTGACGGCGTGGAGAAAAGATGAAGCCGTGACAGAGCCGGAGGGGTGGGGCGATGAAAGGTTGTGTCACGTCTCCAGCTCGGGGGGAGGAGCCGGTGACGAGACAGGAGCTCTGAGCCGTTACAGAGCCGGAGCATTGATAGAGGCAATTCTGCCAGCATCCCTCAGAGGACCCCCCTTTCTGCAGGTCTTGTCACGCTCCTAGCAACTGGGAAGCTGAGGGGGTTCTTTTCCATGACACACCAGCAGTGTGCACTAGTGAGACTGAGAGCTGTTGACGAAGAGCTACGTGTGTGTCTTTCTTCGATTCCTGCCAGAATATCAGCTTTGTGTTCAGCAAACAGGCCCAGGTTGCGCACTGAGTAAGTAAACAGAAATATGAACAATTATAAAATACTTTATTATTTCATAATAAAGTAATTATAAAATAATTTCTTTGTGTTTATTTGATTCCTATTCAAGAGAATTACTTTATATATAGTCAATATAGGCACAGAGGTACATTTTTTTAACATTTTCTAATGGTGGTGTGCCTCGTGATTTTTTTCATGAAAAAAGTGTGCCTTTGCACAAAAAAGGTTGAAAAACACTGCTCTAAGGAATGTTTCCAGCACCTTGTTGAATCCATGCCACAAAGAATTAATGCAGTTCTGAGGACAAAAGGGGGTCCAACCCCATACTAGCAAGGTGTACCTAATAAAGTGGCCAGTGAGTGTATATATACTGTACATACAGTATTAAGTATTGTATTGTACATGTATATGTATATTTGTTAAAGGCAGTGCAAGACTGCTGGAAGTATTTGCAATATTCTGTGACTCTTGCAGTGCACATACCTAAAAACTATCTGGGGGCTAAGCACAATCAAGTGTCTGGGATAACGGATATGGATGTCAAAGACTGCAGTGCGGACTAAAAATCATAGTATACAAGGCTGGGAGAGAAGAAAAGGCCAAGGATGTGAACAGATAACTCAGGGACTGCACTACACACTGTTTTGGAAAGTAGTGCAGCCACTGGAGTCACCCGTGTAGATTTAGGTTCCCACTAGGGATGCAACAATACCAATACTAGTACCTTCCATGATATTGGAACTTCAAGGGAGATTTCCTCTGACCAGCAGTGCCACGAGGGAACATGGAGTCAGCTTTCCGGCCAATCAGGAAGCCGGGCGGTGAGTAATGGTTCACCGCCCAGCTTCCTGTTTGGCCGGCTCGATACTGATTGGCCGGGAAGCCGGCTTCCCAGCCAATCAGCATTGAGCCAGCCAAACAGCACGGAGCCGAGCTTCCGGCCAATCAGGAAGCCAAGCGGTGGACAATGACCAGCCTCCCGGCTTCCTGATTGGCCAGGAAGCCAGCTCCATGCTGATTGACTGGGAAGTCGGCTTCCCGGCCAATCAGCATCGATCTGACCAAACAGCACGGCAATCAGAAAGCCGGGAGGTGGGTCATTACCCACTGCCCGGCTTCCTGACTGCCCGGGAAGCCGGCTCCATGCTAGCGGAAGTACCGATATCGGTACCAGAAAGTGCTGAAATATAAAATATCGATACTCGTACTCGATACCGAAAAAAACGGTATCGGTGCATCCCTAGTTGCCACTAATGCATGGAGCCTAAGAAATGTTTGCTTTTAAAGCTATACTCCAAACAAAGATTGGACAAAGATTGTACAAAGATAAATAAATGGGAGTTGTCTTACTGTTCTGCTTCCGTCCATCCAGGTCTGAGATTTACACAACTGTGCCACACTGCCTGGTAGGACAGGAGACCTGATCTTTCTCTGCTGCAGTTCAGCAACACTTACAGGTCTTATCCCTCCCCCAGCTTGTGACTTTACAGTGAAGAAGAAGCATCAGATTGACAAGCTCACTCTGTTCTCTCTCTCTATAAGCATGTATACAACTGACTGGCTCCATGGCTGATTCTCCAAGTCTGAGCTCTGCTGTACAGGGACTGCAAGAGGCTGATAACAAGTCAAATTTAGGGACATTGCTTGAATGAATGATGTATTAACGATTACAGAGCTGCATTCATTTGTGTCATTTATATCAGCCCGGAGTACAGCTTTAATTCCTCGCTGAGGCTATTTTTGTAACGGATGGTAAAAGTAGTTTCGCCAGGAAATAGAATGTGACATTTCCGGAAAAATGAAACTTTAATGGTACATTTCCTCAGAGCGTCCCCTCTCAGTTGTGTATTTTCCTTGGTTTTTACTGTGTATGAGGTCACCGGCGTCTCAGTGCAGCCCCCTAAATTGGGGATTTGATATCACGTTTTAGCCCGTCGTTGTCTCCTCGCCTGCAGAGCCGACGGGCTGGAGCTGCGGGCTTAGCACTTTGTTTTACGACGCAGATCAGCTGGTGTTGTCAGGTACACAACCTCGTCCCGCTCCATGAGCGCGCTATCGATGGACGACCTGCCTGCTGCGCGGCTCCTGGATTTGTCATTAAGGAGCTGATTGAGAGTTTATGGAACTTCCTACACGCCTGTGGAAAACCGAAGTGTGACTTATAATTGGCCGGCTTCATGCACTGAACGGATCCAATATTAAACTTGTTCTCTGCAGCCCTGCATGCGACTTTTATGGCACACCTCAGGCAAACTCTCCCTCTACATCATGTTCCAGCATTGTTTTTTTTATTTCAACTTGTTACTGTTGCAATTCAATGGATTTTATTACTTTCTGTGATATCACCACCAGATATAAAATTCTTGCAGGGTCAGCTTCTGGGAGCTCAGTTCCTATTGACCCAAAAGCCCTTTCCTTACACACAATGTGTGGGCAGGACCTAGGGAGTCAAAGCGGCAGCATTGTTTTCCTGGGAAATAAATGAATGTATCCAAGTGGAGAGGGAAAGAGAGGGGCAAGGATAGGGATGGGAGTTCTGTAGTCCAGCAGGACGGGCTGACAATGCTGATTGGGATGTCAGTACGAGAGGCACTATGTTGTCTGCTCAAACAAGACATTAGGAGCTCACTTGATTACCGGCAGGTATTTTTCTGTACTTGCAGCATTTTGTACATGCTTAAGGTGACATTAAAGGATTTTTTTCCCCCTCCCCCCAATGTTAGTGTAAGGACTTACCTTAAATGATGTCCCTTAATCCGATCATCTTCTTCTTTCCTGTTGTTCTCAGCTTTCCCTCCAGCGCTGGTGCGGGTCTCCGATCCAGCGCTGTTCCTCTGTCCTCCTTTGATGTCCCACGGAGTCTGTGCAGGTGCACGCTGCTCCATAGACTTACCTTGTGTCTCTCCTCCTCTCCCGGCCGAACATCTGAACTGCGCATGCGCCCGCCCCAAGATCCTTTGCGGTCGCCCGAGACTCTTCAGATGTTCGGACGGGAGCACGTGGCGGAGACACAGGTGAATTAAAACCTGTTTCAATTGCTTGTTTCAAAACCTGCATATATCTATTGCTTGCTAGCAGTAGATATAAGCCAAAAAAACGTGAGGGTTTAATAACCCTTTAAGTGGGGCCATGCCCTGGGTACGCTACTGGGTGAGCTAATATTACATAAACAGAAAATAGAACCTAAAAATGTCTTAAAATATAGATTTACATAACCAAATAATCTATGGCAAAGTACATCAGTCTAGAACGTTGATGGTGACCCTAAGACCCCGTTCACATTGAGCGATTTATCGCGCGGTAATTCCCGCGATATCCTGCTGTCGCGGGTCGTGTGCCGCTACAGCAGGACCCTTTTTGGAGCGGATTTAGCCGCGATTCAAGCTTGCTCAATGCAAGCGTGAACGCGACATCGCGGCAAATCTCGCGATGTCGCGCAAATATGCAAATCGCGCGACAAACGCGCAATTTGCATATCGCGCAGTGGGAACGGGGCCTGAATGACACCTGAATAAATTGTTAGGGGGAGTACTGTGATCTTTGAAAGAGGTAATAAATACATGGAAGGGTTAGGCCCCATTCACACATGGATTTGTCCGCGCTGAACCGCCAACATGAACGATCCCATACATTCCTATCGGGACCGTTCATGGGACCGCAAGGCCAACTGCCGCCCGAAATACTCCCGGAGCCTTTTTTCCACGCTAATCAGCGCGCATTTCATATAGATTTGAATAGAAATGTGCTGAAACGCAATTAAAACACGCCCAAAACCGCCCTTTAAAAGTCAAACTGAAAAGACTCCACCCTGGGGTGAATGGGGCCTTACACTAAATCCATTCTTGTCATTCTGCTTTTAAAGCTGATCTCAGGTCAGACATTTCTAATAAGTATCATAAAAGTCAGTTTTTACTTTTAACAAATATGTATGATATATCTCCTTTTTGCAAGCAAAGCCGCAGCCGATCAATCTGCTATTACATGCATACATGCAGCATTTCTAGGACTTGGTGCCTAGCTTCCTATATGTAAGTCAGGTAGCCACTGTGCATTCTCCTTCCATGGGCCGACAGCCATGTTACTTCCCTATTGTAGCTCATTTTTAATTGCGGCTGCATCATTAAGTTGCTGTAGTGGGAAGACCCGGGAGTCTCACACTCCGGGTCTGTTCCTCCTACCCTGACTGCCTCCTCCCATCCACAATGACAACCTTCCTTGACTGACAGGCCTGAAGACTCCTTATCTGTCATGTCTAGTTACTTCAGCTCAGCCACAAATCCGCCCACAATCCCAACCATTGAATGCACTAATTCTCATTGCATGATGGGAAATGTATGATACAGTGGTGCTGAGCAGTAAAAGGAAATTATGTCAGCGCTTCCTCGATCACTCCTTAGTGTGCTTGGGTATGGTCAAGGTGGATTTAATAAGAATCTGCTCCGTCAAACAGTAGAAAGCCTTTGACGGAAGCTATTGTTGCTTGCCCATAGAGAGGTGGAGGCAGATCCAGAGAAGATGACTATCTCAGGCTCACCTTAGTGTCTCTTCCTGAGTCAGGTCATCCGTTCGAGGCTCCCCAGTCACTAGGGCCAACTCGTCTTTTAGAGCCTGGATCTCTTTCTTCAGACGAACAATCATCTGTGAACAGCAAATACCATTAAAGACAAAACAAAAACCATGTAGGCTTCCTTCTTAATATACCTCTCCTCTACTGAAATACTCTGCTCTGCTGGGGGACTCTGCTCCTTCCTCTATAACTCTCCTCTCCAGAAATACTCTGCTCTGCTGGGGGACTCTGCTCCTTCCTCTATAACTCTCCTCTCCAGAAATACTCTGCTCTGCTGGAGGACTCTGCTCCTTCCTCTATAACTCTCCTCTCCTGAAATACTCTGCTCTGCTGAAGGACTCTGCTCCTTCCTCTATAACTCTCCTCTCTCCTGAAATACTCTGCTCTGCTGGAGGACTCTGCTCCTCCCTCTATAACTCTCCTCTCCTGAAATACTCTGCTCTGCTAGAGGACTCTGCTCCTTCCTCTATAACTCTCCTCCCCTGAAATACTCTGCTCTGCTGGAGGACTCTGCTCCTTCCTCTATAACTCTCCTCTCCTGAAATACTCTGCTCTGCTGGAGGACTCTGCTCCTTCCTCTATCTAACTCTCCTCTCCTGAAATACTCTGCTCTGCTGGAGGACTCTGCTCCTTCCTCTATAACTCTCCTCTCCTGAAATACTCTGCTCTGCTGAAGGACTCTGCTCCTTCCTCTATAACTCTCCTCTCTCCTGAAATACTCTGCTCTGCTGGAGGACTCTGCTCCTCCCTCTATAACTCTCCTCTCCTGAAATACTCTGCTCTGCTAGAGGACTCTGCTCCTTCCTATATAACTCTCCTCTCCTGAAATACTCTGCTCTGCTGGAGGACTCTGCTCCTTCCTCTATAACTCTCCTCTCCTGAAATACTCTGCTCTGCTGGATGACTCCGCTCCTCTCTCTAACTCTCCTCTCCTGAAATACTCTGCTCTGCTAGAGGACTCTGCTCCTTCCTCTATAACTCTCCTCTCCTGAAATACTCTGCTCTGCTGGATGACTATGCTCCTTCCTCTATAACTCTCCTCTCCTGAAATACTCTGCTCTGCTGGATGACTATGCTTCTTCCACTGACTCTCCTCTCAGAAATATTCCTTGCTGTTATATTTTTTTCCCTCTCCGCCTACATGGCATTGAAATGAGGATACAAAGTAGAGGAAGCATATCTATAAACTGGCATGTAGGGAGGATAAGATTCAGTGTATGTTCCTACTGTATGCGTTTTATTACAACCTATGAATACAGGAGCACACTCACCAATTGAGGGTCGATTTCCTCATTCAGCAGGGCTTCATTCTTTATCAGCGCCACTCGCTGGGCAAAGCGACATGTGGAAATCGATTCCTAGAAAACACATGTATTATATTACATACTGTATGTATAATCAACTCCTATATATATATATGTATAATGGGCACTAATGATTGCTAAGGATGGCCCTGTAAGGGGAAGCATTAGTAATGCTGAAGCCTGAACATTGGCATAGCATACTTGCACATTAAAGGAGAACTATGGGGTCAGTGTTTTTCCCCATAGTTCTCCTTAGGGTAACAGGAGGACACAAACTAGCGTCCTCCCGTTACCCTAAGCTCAGTATACCGCGAACTACAGCTCACAGTATACTGAGACGCCGCAGCCGGAGCGGATCCCGACGTAGATGACGGGATCCGCCCAGCTGCGTGAGTGACAGCTGGCTCTGCCCCCCTCCCCCGTCCGTTCCGCCAGTCAGTGATGGCAGATCAGAGCGGGGAGAGGGGAATCCAGCCCCTCCCCTTGTCACAGCAGAGAGCTGTGACAGGATCGAGAGGTGAGGGAACCCGGTATATGTTCGCTCACCTCCCGATCTACTGAGCCGACCTGTGACAGTCTCATTGTCACAGGTCGGCTAGAACTATGAGGTGAGTGGAAATCACTCATCTCATAGTTCTCCTTTAAGGAACACACCTACCTCCCTCTGTGTTGTGCTCCAGCGATGACGGGTCCATACACCTTTCACCACTGCGTCCCCTGCCGCCATCATCTCCACTTCTGATTCTTCCGTGGCACTGAGTGGCCACTGATGATGTAACTCCTGTGCGCATGTGAGGAGTTACATCATCCTCGGCACGTGGCCCATTCGAGAGTGTAAACTGCGCGGTGCATGCGAGAATACGTATAAGGGCAATGAACTGACTATATAGGTCTAGCTATGTGTTATTGGGGGAGGACCTGTCTACATACATCAATGTTCCTTTTTTCCATAGACAGCGTGGCAATCATGGTCGTCATGCAGTTGCCTCCCAGACTGTCCCGCAGTACAGAGGTCATCATGGAGTTCCTATATGGGATGTGAGAGCGATTCCTCTCCGCCAGGGCGATAATGACCTACAAGAGAGGTGCAAATCATGCGTATTGAGACATCAGAAATCCCAGAAAGAATAAAAATACATTGATACAACAAATGGCCAACACGGACAATCCCAAAAGCTTACAGTCCTCCTCCATAAACTGTACCATTATCACTATCATTTTATATTTACCAAGTCGAGCTCTCAGGTATGTACATTTTCTACAATTCTGAGTATAATATGATCCTTTCATTTTTAGATCTAATGAGAACACAAGAATAAGTCAGAGGAGGGACTTTACCCCCTCCCTATAGTTCATACAGCCGTTGGATGAAATACCAGTTAAAGAGAGACAGTCCACAAGTGAGCAGACAGAGCATTGTGGAGGCATCCGGAACTAAATGTTTGTTTCTAAAATTAAGATTTTACATAAAGAGGTGACAAAAAGATTATTTAAAAAAATATTGATCAAAAGCCATCAGTTTCTTTTACAAAGCCAACTCCAGGGGGCAAAAGTCACCAGTGGCCTTACTAAAGAACAATTTCTAGTTCTTAAAGTGAACCTGTACTTTGCCCATGTAGAGAAAAACAATAGGTACACTTTAAAACTGGCTCCGCAAGCATCACCTACTCACCTTGCCTGTGCTCCCCCATCACTCCTTTTGGCCACTGAGAGTGGCAAAATAACCCCTCATAATGGGCACAGCAGAGATGCAAACTGGGGAACTCAGCGCAGGGATCGTGGAAACTCCTCATAATAGGCACAGCAGGTGTGCAGATCCTGGAATTCAGCTCAGGTTTTTGAGAAACCATTATAATGGGCACATTAGGAGTGCAGATCTGAGAACTTAGCACAGAGATGGTGGGACCCCCTGATAATAGACACAGAAGGTGTTCAGATCTGGGAATTCAGCACAGAGATGGTGGTAGCCACTCATAGAAGGCATGGCAAGTGTGCAGACCCAGGAACTTATTGTAGGGATGGTGGCAACCCCTCATAATGAGCATATCAGTAATTAAGACCTAGGAACTCAGTGTAGGAATAGAGGGAACCCCCCATAATGGGCACAGCAGACATGCAGAACCCTGGACTTAGTGCAGTAACGGAGGGAACCGCTGAGAATGGGCACAGCAGACATGCAGAACCCTGGACTTAGTGCAGTAACGGAGGGAACCGCTGAGAATGGGCACAGCAGACATGCAGAACCCTGGACTTAGTGCAGGAATGGAGGGAACCCCTCATAATGGGCACAGCAGACATGCAGAACCCTGGACTTAGTACAGGAACAGAGGGAACCGCTGAGAATGGGCACAGCAGACATGCAGAACCCTGGACTCAGTGCAGGAATCTCACCAATAGAGTCCCTGAGAGTCAGAAGAGCCTGTTAGGTGATTGAACTCTCCAGACCAAAATGTGTTTCATATATCAATTATGAATAGACTGACCTTTAAAATGAAGAAGATGCTGCTCTTACCTACTTCCAGTGTGGTCAGAGATGCAGGAAGCACGTGTGGAGGTTTTATAGTACTATGTCCACCGCATGCTGTGATACATCTGAACAGCATAATAATGGGAGGATGACACAAATCCCAGAATCCCAGTGTGGATTTTACAAAGAAGAAATCAGAGGACAAACAGGTGTCAGTTCTCTAAGGTATGGCTTCCCTTGGAGATGAACAATATCCACTGTGACCCCATCCAGACAAAGACCATTCATAGCTGTTCCTCCTCTCACAGACCTCCGCTACAAAGAGGACCAAAGACAACAAACACTCTGTACATTGTGATGTGAAGTTACAGCCTCAAACCACCCACAGCCCTCCTCAATGGACATATTGTGATTTCTGCTCAGTGATAAACACAATCGCAATCTGTAGGTATTCCTATGAATCCAGGGAAAGGGCAACTGTAGCTTAAAGGGTCAGTACATCACAAGGTGCGGGGACATCGTAGTGTAAGCTTCTGCGAGGCAGAAACTAATGCGAATGGTTTCACATTCCCTCTACAGAGACTCACTGCTGGTTAGCGTATGCAAAGCAAAAACTTTATTTTAGTTGTGGTTAGAATGTGGAAAGATCAGAACCCCTGTTAGGTTTTTATTGCTATCGTTGGTCCGGGGGAGAGATCCACCTTCTCTATTTGTCCTGGTGATTGTCACTGAGACAGAAAATGAAGGGCAATCCAAAATGTGGTCCAGTAGTCATCAGAACAGGATTACATGGGGACAGCACAGTCTTGCATCTTATACCTCGGTTCCGAAGTGCAGTGTCTAAGGTGGCGTCCCAGGATCAGTGTCGCCCCCATTTAAGTTAGTGCGAATGCGCAAAAGCTCAATAAGGCGCTCATGATCATAATCAGAGGCAGCAAGTGGGTAGTTCCTGGATAATTACAGGAGGGGTTGTCAAGTGTGGGGGTTCTTGTGGGACCGCCTAGCCACTGGACGGACATGAGGTGGACTCTGGGCAGGGTACAGGACTGAAATGTTGGTATTGGATTAAAGGGGAAATCACCCAATAAGGACACTTGTTCTGGTGACAACTGCCCAAGAGGATAGAGATCCACACTTTGGATAAACCTTCGACTTCCTGTTGTGTCTCCAGGGCAGAAAGAAGGAAATCTCACCAATAATATTAAGGCAGCAGGAAAAGATGATCCTGACAGGTATTTGAACAATTCCATACTCTATCCAGTGGCGTCACAAGGGGGCACGTGGATAATGACTAGGGCTGCAACAACTAATCGACATAATCGATTATAATCGATTATTGAAAAAGTTGTCAACTTTTTCAATAATCGATTAATCACATCAAGTGTGTATGTAATGACGTGTGCGCTGCATGACACCCATTGTCCACACCAAGTGACACACAGCCTGGTGACGCCACTGACTCTATCCTTAGCATGAAAAATAAAGTTTGTCCATAGACATACAGATGCCAGCCATGTTCCCCATCAATACTTAGACTGGGTACCTACCTGTTCCAAGTAGTGCAAGGATAAGTTGATGTACTTGGCCTCAGTTAGAAGCTGTCCCCCCACTCCTGTCTTTGCAACTCTCTCAGATCCAGCCAAATCCACTAGGTGTAGCTTGGAGCGGCGGACGGTGGCAGAGCCGGGCTCCTTGCTGGAGATATGCATTGTGAATATGCAGTGAGAGCGGGTGGACGCCTGGTTCATTGGAGTCTGTCACAAAAAAACACATAAAGCTGTTACTGCCGATACTAAACACAAGAGGAATTCTGAGCAGCGTTTTCATGCGTATCAATAAATCATCGTATAGGTATTACTGCTTTAGAGAATGATCTGACCCTCATTGAACTACTATACTTAAAGCTGGAGTCCCCGAAGAAAGACACAAATAAATGCAGCTTTGTAATCATTATATATAATTAAATGTATTATTTTAAGTGCACGCAGTGTAAGTACCTGAAGGTGTCCTGGTATCAGCATCTTGCCTGGAAGGTGAGAGGAAGAAAGAGCACAAGCAACCAATCAGTTTGTGTGCTGACAGGAAGCATGCTGATAGAAAAAAAGAGCAGAGTGGCAAAAAAATGAGATCATTACTATACTGCTTCTCCCAGTCACAGGTTGGCGGCAGGTCCATGGCAGGCTTGGCTCAGAGGAACTGGGTTGAATGATGCTAGCCATCAGAAGGCGGGCCAATATTTTGTTGGACCGCCTTTAGCTTTGATTACGGCATGCATTCACTGCGTTGCATCGTTTCGATAAGCTTATTCAATGTCACAACATTTATTTCCCATCCAGAGTTTCATAAATTTTCTCCAAGATCTTGTAGTGGTGATGGGAGAGTTGAACCACTGCGTAAAGTCTTCTCCAGCACATCCCAAAGATTCTCAATGGGGTTAAGGTCTGGACTCTGTGGTGGCCAATCCATGTGTGACAATGATGTCTCATGCTCCCTGAACCTCTTTCACAATGTGAGCCAATCTGGAATATGCCCAATGTGCCATCAGGGAAGAGAAAATCCATTGATGGAAAAACCCAGTCATTCAGTATATTCAGGGAGGCAGCTGAGTTCATATTTTGGGCACATAACGTTGCTGAACCTAGACCTGACCACCTGAAGCACCCCCAGATCATAACACTGCCCGAAAATACAGGTGGTGACTTTTTTTTCCTGGCCAGGCAGTGTCTGTCATAAGAGATATATGAAATCAGAACTGGCAAACGCTCATTCCCAGACAATATTCCTGGATACTATCTGTGTAATTACATGGCAATCCAATGGCTTCCAATCAGCTTTCAGCCACTGATACCTCCCCGCTTCCGGTGACTAATTACAAAAAATGGGGTAGAAAAGGATGACAACAATGACAATGGAAATTGAGTATTCGATCTAGGTCATTCCAATTTTAGTTTGGCTGCTTGAAACCAGGAAACTCAATAATTTGTCCTGTTCTGAATCATGTCATCACAGGTCCAGGTGATAACAGGGCAAAAATCTGAAATCTCAATGTTCAGAAACCCAGAGAGACTTGTGTGAAGACTTTCATGTTGTCCTCAGCAACCAATCAGAAATCTGATTTCATTTTCAGCTGTGCAATACAGAAATGCCAACTGGAAGCTGATTGGTTTCTATTGGCACAAGAAAGGGTCTTATTTTTACACTTTTTATACACAAACCCCATAGCAGCCAACCAGTATTCAATATACAAGGTGGTTCGTTTCTGGTGCCCTTCGGTACACTTTGACTTTAGATTCACTTTACAAAATAAAATCAAAAGTCTAATTTCTCTATCACCCCAATATATAACAGAAGGGTCTCTTTCCACATTGCACATTTACAGGATATATTGCCCCCTGCAGTTCTTTTTTCTTTGTATAACGTTTCTCTGCGCAGTGTCCCCACTCATTCTTGTCATTCTCAGACCCAGACAAGAAAACCCAGCAAAATAGTTTGTGGAGAAACATCAATAAAAGACTTTCCATGGATTTATTACTGATAATTTACAACGCTCTACACCAAGGACATTCCACTTCTGCAGCACATTGGGATAATACCTACTTTATATTTGTTACATGGTGCCAGCCACATAGCATAACTTAACTGGGTTTCACACTAGGGATGCACCGATACCTATATTGGTTTTGGTGCCAATACCAAGCAGATCCCCTTTTGCCACCAAAACACTCATGACCCGTCAACGCATGGACTTCACTAGACCTCTGAGGGTATGCTGTGGTATCCGGCACCAAGCCGTCAATAGCTGAACCTTCAAGTCCTGTAAGTTGCAAGGTGGGGCCTCCTTTGCTGCCCCGTGCATCAATGAGTCTTGGCCGCCCATGACCCTTGTTGCCAGTTTTCCTTCCTTGGACCACTTTTGGTCGGTCCTGACCACTGCAGACCGGGAACATCCCACAAGAGCTGCGGCTTTGGAGTTGCTCTGACCCAGTCGTCTAGACATCACAATTTGTCCCTTGTCAAAATCAATCAAATTGTTAAGTTTGCCCATTTTTCTGCTTCCAACACATCAACTTCGGGGACAAAATGTTCACTACAAGTCCCTATCGTAAAAACAAATTCCCCTCTTAACCATCCCTGGAAAAAGTGTCCCCACCGGAAGGCAAACTCCGGCCCTCCAGCTATGGCGCAACTACAAATCCCATGAGGCATTGCAAGGCTCTGACAGCTACAGGCATGACTCCCAGAGGCAGAGGAATGGTGGAATTTGTAGTTTCCCCACAGCTGGAGGGCCGGAGTTTCCCCACCCCTGCTCAAGTGAAACCAACTTTTGGATTTCCCCTTACTTTCCTTCTTGGTGACAACGGTCTCCAGGACAGAGAGAGCGCTGAATCTTTCCAACACTCATGCAGACAGCAAAAAAAAAACTGACAACAACCGTACTCTACCCAAAACCCAAAAGAAAAACAAGTTTGGCCTTTCCATACACTTTAATGCGGATTACAGCCGATGCCGATACTTGGTAAGATTTATGGATCTACATTGCTGAAGGATTTACAGAGAGACTGGTATTTGGTGCACATTAATAGTGGGAGGGCAGCAGTCAGTAAATATTTATAGACAGACGGGGCGTCTTGTAAACATTTACAGACAAAATGGGAGAACACAGCGTGTAAATCTTTCGGAAGACTCCACTTTAACTGGAACAGCTGGACAGAGGCCAAAAGCATCTCAATCCACATTCTGAGGAAAACGTACAGAAGCTGCAAATGTCATTATTAACAAGACGTGCTCCATCAGCCGCTGACACTATACAAGACGCGTAATCTGTACAAATCCCCGCCGCTATTAAACACACTTTCATTGGACACGTAGACGGCTCGCACAGGAGATGCTGGAAAATCTCACAAGGTTTTGTTTTTTGGTCGATTTTTTTAGGGTAGACGTCGTTCGCAATTACTTTCATCCTACTATTTCCTGGTAGACAGAGCCTCGCACATACCTAGACTCAAGTCCTGTGCACTGCAATAATAGACCACGTGTGCACATTTCCATATCACATTACTATATACAGGGCCGGATTTACTCTCCCTGCTGCCCCAAGGCCAGGTTCCGCAATGCGCCCCCCCGCCTACTCCCCACAAAGTGCAGCACCATTAAAGTGTATCTACATATTATTAGATATAGATTTTCCATGGTAAGTGCAGCATGCTCAGTAATGTGTCACTGTAACACTTCCAGGTATTTTTTACCACTCACAGAGGTCACAGTACTCCCCTGGTGATGCCTTCACCTGCTTTCCTCTCCAGAAGGACAGTGCCATCTTTGTTCAGGCGTCATCCAAGGTCACCATATTCTTCCTGGACTGAGGTACCGGCTCGGAGAGGATACAGTCATATACATTCTGATGCCTGTGCTGTGTTCATAAACAACTGACAAAAATAAGCCCCTGACTGACAATGTCACAACATTTTAGCAAGTCACAAGGTGAGAGGCTGAAGCGGGGGCTGATGGTTACTCGTTTTGGTCTAGGGTCTAAAATAACAAAGATATACTCATCTGATCCTCAGGCAGATGGTTATTAGCTCCGCCACTGTCCTCAGACCTACCTGGCTGCTAGTCCGGTTCCTGCTGCCTCTTCTCCTCTAGGTCCCATCAGTCTAACAACCCGTGACGTAATGACGTCTATACGGTCTATTGGACCTGAAGACCCGGGGGGACATTTCACAGCTGGAGTGGAGGGGAAGAGAGGTGAGAGAGGTGAGCAGTCACCACCGTGGAACTGAGGATCAGGTGAGTATATCTTTTTTATTTCAGACTGTTAAATCCAGAGATATTGAAATATGTATGTGTGAACCTTAAATGATGATTGATTTTCTATATTTTAATCTATCCAAGTTTGGAGATTCAGTTTTACTGTACTGCTGATTTTGAGTTTACAATTGGTAATCAATCAGTAAGCCTGACAGGCAGACCTAAGTATAGTTGAAACAGTTGTTGGGAATGCCCAAAGAAGACTTGGCCTTCAAAATGAGTTTGAAGAATAAACCACATTACTCAGGACATAGACTATGATGCCCAAAATGGGATAGAAGGAGAACACATGACTCAGCTACTAAAAGTATGGCACTCCCTTATGCTAATCAGAAAGACTTTTAAGGTAAACATCACATAGGTTATTTTAAAGTAAAAGCATGGATAAAAAGGATGAGGGATGACCCTTCAAGACACATTCACACACGGACACACACACTCACACTCATTCACTACAGATCCACACACACACAGTATCACAGACACGCCCACACCCCCACACTCACATTGTATAGACTCATTCTGTAAGATATACTATATTATGTAATCATCAAGCATCTTATAGACTAATTCTGTAAGATATACCATATCCTGTAATCATTTGCAACTTTTAAATTAAGCACATTATGAATTTTATGCAACAACGGCAACAATCATCTATTATTGAACTTTTCCACCCTATGCTTCGAGAAAAGGAATATGACATAAAAAATCATATTTCGTGTCATTTTCTTACACAGACCCTAGACCAAAATGAGCACTTAACCCTTGCAGTGCTGGGATAACCCCATTGTAAGGGTTAATTTTTTTCTTCTTCTTTGAGTTCTATCGGCCATGGCACGGTACAATGCGGTTGTAACATGTTGCATCATGCTGCTCTAAAAAAAGGACTGCATGCAGTACTTCTTTTAACTTACACTATAGCAATGCAGTAATGTGAACTGGG